ACGTGCAACATTTGACGTAAATATAAATGCAACATTTGACATAAATATAAATGCAACATATGTGGTAGTTATTTTTTAAATCGTTTTAATATTGACACGCTGTCTGTTTGTAAATAGGATAACCATTTGTCCAGGCTTGTCACAAAGTACAGAGGTCAGGCGGAAGAAATTTCGAATAACAATCCCAGCTGCATCATTAGCATGTGTTTATGAATCGTTAGAAATGTCATCACTATTAACGTTCGTTTTGATTATTTTGATTGAAATGTGCGGGACTGAAATCTGCCCCGACACTGCCCCACTTCAACACAACATGTACTACAAGGACAACCGTTGGTAGCTCAGCTCGTAACGTGTCAGCTTCTCACGCCGCGAGCCCGGGTTTAATTCCGTACATGAGTCGCATGTCTTGTGCCAACTGCATTTCTGGTATTGGAGAGTCCATGGGAGGACCCAGAAGGGGAAGGGGTGTGTTTGCAGGGGTGCGCAAAAGTTAAATGACCATTGAAAACGACCTCACCCCTCTCCTGAACTGTGCACACCCCTTTCTCAAAAAGCTGCACCCGCCCCTGGATAACCTGGTTTAAGGATATCATCAGGCTATATATACATGTATATGATATGATATATATATATATATATATATATATATATATATATATATATATATATATATATATATATATATATATATAAACTGAGGTGACAGTTGTACTGCTATATACAACTGAGAGGTGACAGTTGTACTGCTAAAGCGGGGTGTTTTGTCGGTAAACAAGCCTTATTATCGCACATATGTTATATATTTATTGAATTAGGAAACTATCCTGTATATCTCGCATCGGTCAACAATACCTGCCTAGTTTCCGTTTGCCTGTCAATTGTAAAACAAGATCAATGTCGCCTGTTGTCCTTACCAGCTGTTCGCCTCACTGTTTAGCGATATCGTTGAAGTGGTTCATGTAAAGCGGTTGTAACGCAGGCACAGAATGGCAGATGTCACAGTAACCGAACATTCATATGAACCACGGACCATCCATCTGATTAAAAATATATATTACACTTTATATGCTGATACGTGACCCCAATACCAAAGCAAAAATAATTCAAATAGAAAAGTGGAACATTCTTAGCAGTTCGAATCATCAGGAATCCCCTAAAAGGTCGCCATCGATTGTTCCCTCCAAACGCTGCTTCGTCTCTACAATGAGACTTACTATGACGTGATATTTTTAGCGTCACTGGGCTTTTATACTCAACAAACAAAGTTAAGGACCACCCCAATTTTCAATAACTTACAGCACTTGTACCAACGGATGCTCAGCGTGTGGCCCTTTGTGTCCAGCAATATTCCAACAGCATTTAGTGATTACATTTTACATCTGTAGGATAAATTCGAACATGCTCTGTTTATCAAGATTTCAAAGATCGCCTCACGACTAACGGTTTTTCGATAGGATTAAAACATTCGATTCTTCCATCAAGGCTTCAAAACTTTTGAAGGTAGACACGTGAAGGGTATCCCGAAATATGAGCCATCGGTGACCATGATGTCCGATGCAATTCCTATTTTTACCATATTTTCCCGTAGTTTGCATGTGTTTATGATGAGTGCAAGCGATCGGACAGGATACGCTCACCTTTTGCGACCACCTGGTATCATCGCAGTTTCACAGTGACTCATAAACACTTGCTCACGTTCCAGTCGAAATTGTACATCAGCTCTGCTTTGGGCAGAGATTTCTTGTGGATATGGAAACTTGTAGCTTTCATTCCAAACAATGGGTCTACGGTCACAGCACAAGTCAAAACATTGATTACACAACAGTCTCGTTTCCTGTTGACTGGGTTCCGTCCTATTGCGCAACCTAGTACAATAACCAGTCCAGAATTTTGAGACCAATTCATTCAACTGGATACATAAATATTAATCAGTATTATTTGATACATCTAAGCACTTGTATATTGCAACACTACGCTCCTTCTAATCCCTGCAAACACGTCGTGCAGCGTGCTCTGTCGTACAGCGTGCTCTGACAAACGGAAATCAGGAAATCGTGGAAATCTCAAAACGAGGCTCTGCCGCTAGAAAAGTTTGGCGGTCTGGTACGGACTTGATATTATATGTAGCCTACACCTCGCCATACAATATTGAAATACGATGTTTTTAAATTTTAAAATTAAAATTAACTTGTAAATACCATTTTCTTATGAAACAAGGAATTGAAATTCAGTGTAACCATAGTTGTTTGTGGTGTCTCTTTTCACTTTCACACGAGAAAATTCGGATCGGTTGAAAATTAGATCATTGTCTTAATAGGTTAATGAGACTCATGTTTCGGTTTGTTTATGACACACCCTGCTAATTAGGGCGGTAAAAATATATCATCATCACGTATCCGGTTAAAAAAAATGTAATTTTAAAAGTATACGATTAGAATAGATGCAACAAATTGTTGCCAATCAGTAAGTACATTAGAATACATCATTCTTCCATTCTGTATAGCAATAATGATCATACACATTGGTCTTTTGACAGCATAGCCGTTGGCATTTCACACCATCTTTTTCATTGTTTGTGGATTCTGTGTCATTATTTCCGATTCCGATAACGCTTTGATTATCTCTCATCTGACGAGGCACCATGTGAGCATGTCGCAGTTTTAAAGTCATAATGCTTCATTGAAATATCATCCGATCTTTGGAAGACAGGCACGTAGAACTGTTTGCATTCCGACACAGCTTCAGGCTAATGTTTTTAAACAATGCACACAAATGGATCGCTGGTGTAGTGTAAATATTTAAGGTTACCACTGACCAAGTGAAAGTGTTTGGCCAGTTCTATGTTCGTGTTTAACTTGGAAAGCAGGGAACGCAAGAAAAGATTAAAAATGGGTTTCCATTGACTATTGTGCTACTGCGTCAGCTGTTAGTTTTTACAGTTAATGAAATGCAGGTTTAATTATATACAGAACTTGGGATATGATGCTGACTATATATTGTTCACGCTATGATATGGGGTTATTGCCATGTGTAGCTGGAAGCCGCTTCGCATGAATGAGTTGAATCATATACATTTATGTCAATTTGCATAATATTTATCAAATTTGGTAATACATTTCCTCGAGGTGATACTTTTTTCGTCACGACTCTATTGTTTTTGTTACGTTTACAGTGTTACGTCTATCGAGACGTGCGAGACATTCACATAATATTGTCAGTTAACGAGATATGGAAGTTCATCTGTCGTCTTGACTGTCGACAAAGCCCTACTATTAAAAAGAACACAAATCAATGGCACCCACGAGCTAGGGAGACACCATGAACTTGGGGACAATACGAACTACTGGGACACCACGAACTAGGGGACAATACGAACTACTGGGACACCACGAACTAGGGGACAATACGAACTACTGGGACACCACGAACTTGGGGACAATACGAACTACTGGGACACCACGAACTTGGGGACAATACGAACTACTGGGACACCATGAACAATTGGGACACCACGAACTAGGGGACACCACGAACTTGGGGACAATACAAACTATGGGAGACCACGAACTTGGGGACAATACGAACTACTGGGACACCACGAACTTGGGGACAATACGAACTACTGGGACACCACGAACTAGGGGACAATACAAACTATGGGAGACCACGAACTTGGGGACAATACAAAGTAGGGGACACCGCGAACTACTGGGACACCACGAACTTGGGGACAATACGAACTACTGGGACACCATGAACAAATGGGACACCACGAACTAGGGGACACCACGAACTTGGGGACAATACAAACTATGGGAGACCACGAACTTGGGGACAATACGAACTACTGGGACACCACGAACTTGGGGACAATACGAACTACTGGGACACCACGAACTAGGGGACAATACAAACTATGGGAGACCACGAACTTGGGGACAATACAAAGTAGGGGACACCGCGAACTACTGGGAAACCACGAACTACTGGGACACCACGAACTACTGGGACACCACGAACTTGGGAACACCGCGAACTACTGGGAAACCACGAACTACTGGGACACCGCGAACTTGGGGACATGACTAAATAGGGGACACCGTAAAACTTGGGGACACCGCGAACTACTGGGACAGCACGAACTTGGGGACACTGCGAACTACTGGGACACCACAAACTTGTGGACAATACGGAGTAGGGGACACCGCGAACTTGTGGACAATACGAACAATTGGGACACAACGAACTAGGGTACACCGCGAACTACTTGGACACCACGGACTTGGGGACAATACGAACAATTGGGACACAACGAACTAGGGTACACCGCGAACTACTTGGACACCACGGACTTGGGGACAATACGAACAATTGGGACACCACGAACTAGGGTACACCGCGAACTACTGGGACACCACGGACTTGGGGACAATACGAACAATTGGGACACCACGAACGTGAGGACACCACGAACAATTAGGACACCACGAACTTGGGGACACCACGAACCTTTGGGACACCGCTAACTTTGGGACACGACTAAATAGGGCACCACACCAATCTAGTACGCTACCACGAACAATTGTGACACCACGATCTAGGGGACCAGGACACGACACAGAGCTAAAATAGATCGAAGTTGATCCCGGGACAACTAGTGATCACTCGTGTATTGTCCCCGGTGAAGTTCATTGTATCCCGCTGTGTTGTCACATATGGACGGTATTACCTAGAAAAAAAATTAACATTCGGTTTTTCATGTTGTTTTTCTTCATCTCATTTACATCACATAATTATTCCTGCGTGTTGTTTTCGATTCTTTATTATTCATTTTGATTAAACACAGGTTTTTGGTTCCTTCATTAATACACATAGAGTGCAGGTATATGCTACCCTCATGCTTGTATAGGTATAGGTATTGCAGAGCCTGATTGCCTTCACATACTGTAGCTTTCATCTCAGTCTGGGGGTATTTCATGTCTGCTGTTTCGTTGCAGGAAATGAACATCACTGGAACGTCACACGAGCTGACAACGCAAGGTCCAAGTAAAGCACTGTTCAAGATCGACTACGACGCATGGCGACAGTGTAATGAGACGGTGCTGCAGAGACCATACCCCGATGATGGTAAGACTTGTTCCGTATTCACCCAACGCGCAGCCAGTTACGGCTTCCTTGACAACAGTGTAACACATTTAGACCTGGCTGACTTTGGGATGATATAATTTGACATGTGTATTACCAATTATTGCTTACATAAACGTCACCGTGACTCTTCACAAAGGTATCAGTAGGATTGGTTGGTTGGTTTAACGCCGGATTCAGCAATATTCCCGCTATATGGCGGCGGTCTGTAAATAATCGAGAATGGACGAGACAATCCAGTGATCAATAGCATGAGCATCGATCTACGCGAGCCTAACCACCCGATCCCGTTAGTCGCTTCTTACGATAAGCATGGGTTGCTGGAGACCAATTTATTGTAACCCGGATCTTCACGGGTAGTATCAGCAGGAAATATTACCATCACATGCTTATTTGTACATACAACCAGCTGCAGAAACCTAGCAGCATAGTCAATGGTAGAACGGGAAACATTGACATATCTGTGTCATTGGAGTGTCGTTGGTATATCCTAGATCAGGTGTGTCACCAACCCGATGAAGTTAGTTCAGCATACAGAGGCCATACGTCACCCCAAGGCCAACCGCGCCCCAACTGGGTTCTCTGGAGAAGGGTTGACGTAAGTGACTGCGTATTGCTAGTCATTTGTATCATCACTGATATCAATCACAGATATTTCAACTTTTCTCTAAAATCTGTTGCAATGTAAAAACAGGCAACTGTGCATTTTATAAAATATAATGCTATTGAAAAAAATACCGTAATAATCGCCCATTCGTCCGATCAAGGTCTCAGCGTAACAAAACCCACTGACAAAACCCATACGTGGTAGCAGGAGACAGGTGGTCACGCCTGGAGTTGGGGCCGTATCAAAACTAAATTAACATGATCAATACCGGGCGTGACCACCGTTTGCCTTGATAAAGGCGAGACAGAGGCGGGGCATCGACATCAGGTGACTGAAAACAGCCTGGGGGTGTTGTGTTCAAATGCCGAACAATTGGGTAAACTGAATTGAGCGTTAAACGGTTGGTTCTGAACCTGTCGTAGGCATCGATCCATCTCATCCTAGACATGGTGTGCTCGATGAGGGAGTCGAGGTCTGACAAAACAGATGGCCATGCCAGTATAGTCATGTTAATCTGCCTAAACTGTATAGCCATGTTAATCTGCCTAAACTGTATAGCCATGTTAATCAGCCTAAACTGTATAGCCATGTTAATCTGCCTAAACTGTATAGCCATGTTAATCTGCCTAAACTGTATAGCCATGTTAATCAGCCTAAACTGTATAGCCATGTTAATCTGCCTAAACTGTATAGCCATGTTAATCAGCCTAAACTGTATAGCCATGTTAATCTGCCTAAACTGTATAGCCATGTTAATCTGCCTAAACTGTATAGTCATGTTAATCTGCCTAAACTGTATAGCCATGTTAATCTGCCTAAACTGTATAGCCATGTTAATCAGCCTAAACTGTATAGCCATGTTAATCTGCCTAAACTGTATAGCCATGTTAATCAGCCTAAACTGTATAGCCATGTTAATCTGCCTAAACTGTATAGCCATGTTAATCTGCCTAAACTGTATAGCCATGTTAATCTGCCTAAACTGTATAGCCATGTTAATCTGCCTAAACTGTATAGCCATGTTAATCAGCCTAAACTGTATAGCCATGTTAATCTGCCTGTATAGCCATGTTAATCTGCCTAAACTGTATAGCCATGTTAATCTGCCTAAACTGTATAGCCATGTTAATCTGCCTAAACTGTATAGCCATGTTAATCAGCCTAAACTGTATAGCCATGTTAATCTGCCTAAACTGTATAGCCATGTTAATCTGCCTAAACTGTATAGCCATGTTAATCTGCCTAAACTGTATAGCCATGTTAATCAGCCTAAACTGTATAGTCATGTTAATCAGCCTAAACTGTATAGCCATGTTAATCAGCCTAAACTGTATAGCCATGTTAATCTGCCTAAACTGTATAGCCATGTTAATCTGCCTAAACTGTATAGCCATGTTAATCTGCCTAAACTGTATAGCCATGTTAATCTAAACTGCCTAAAAACTGTATAGCCATGTTAATCAGCCTAAACTGTATAGCCATGTTAATCCCTAAACTGTATAGCCATGTTAATCTGCCTAAACTGTATAGCCATGTTAATCTGCCTAAACTGTATAGCCATGTTAATCTGCCTAAACTGTATAGCCATGTTAATCTGCCTAAACTGTATAGCCATGTTAATCTGCCTAAACTGTATAGCCATGTTAATCTGCCTAAACTGTATAGCCATGTTAATCTGCCTAAACTGTATAGCCATGTTAATCTGCCTAAACTGTATAGCCATGTTAATCTGCCTAAACTGTATAGCCATGTTAATCTGCCTAAACTGTATAGCCATGTTAATCTGCCTAAACTGTATAGCCATGTTAATCTGCCTAAACTGTATAGCCATGTTAATCTGCCTAAACTGTATAGCCATGTTAATCTGCCTAAACTGTATAGCCATGTTAATCTGCCTAAACTGTATAGCCATGTTAATCTGCCTAAACTGTATAGCCATGTTAATCTGCCTAAACTGTATAGCCATGTTAATCTGCCTAAACTGTATAGCCATGTTAATCTGCCTAAACTGTATAGCCATGTTAATCTGCCTAAACTGTATAGCCATGTTAATCTGCCTAAACTGTATATAGCCTGTATGTTAATCTGCCTAAACCCATAAACTGTATAGCCATGTTAATCTGCCTAAACTGTATAGCCATGTTAAAACTGTATAGCCTGCCTAAACTGTATAGCCATGTTAATCTGCTGTATAGCCAAACTGCCTATAGCCATGTTAATCTGCCTAAACTGTATAGCCATGTTAATCTGCCTAAACTGTATAGCCATGTTAATCTGCCTAAACTGTATAGCCATGTTAATCTGCCTAAACTGTATAGCCATGTTAATCTGCCATGTTAATCATGCCTAAACTGTATAGCCATGTTAATCTGCCTAAACCATGTATAGCCATGTTAATCTGCCTAAACTGTATAGCCATGTTAATCTGCCTAAACTGTATAGCCATGTTAATCTGCCTAAACTGTATAGCCATGTTAATCTGCCTAAACTGTATAGCCATGTTAATCTGCCTAAACTGTATAGCCATGTTAATCTGCCTAAACTGTATAGCCATGTTAATCTGCCTAAACTGTATAGCCATGTTAATCTGCCTAAACTGTATAGCCATGTTAATCTGCCTAAACTGTATAGCCATGTTAATCTGCCTAAACTGTATAGCCATGTTAATCTGCCTAAACTGTATAGCCATGTTAATCTGCCTAAACTGTATAGCCATGTTAATCTGCCTAAACTGTATAGCCATGTTAATCTGCCTAAACTGTATAGCCATGTTAATCTGCCTAAACTGTATAGCCATGTTAATCTGCCTAAACTGTATAGCCATGTTAATCTGCCTAAACTGTATAGCCATGTTAATCTGCCTAAACTGTATAGCCATGTTAATCTGCCTAAACTGTATAGCCATGTTAATCTGCCTAAACTGTATAGCCATGTTAATCTGCCTAAACTGTATAGCCATGTTAATCTGCCTAAACTGTATAGCCATGTTAATCTGCCTAAACTGTATAGCCATGTTGCCTGTTAATCTGCCTAAACTGTATAGCCATGTTAATCTGCCTAAACTGTATAGCCATGTTAATCTGCCTAAACTGTATAGCCATGTTAATCTGCCTAAACTGTATAGCCATGTTAATCAGCCTAAACTGTATAGCCATGTTAATCTGCCTAAACTGTATAGCCATGTTAATCTGCCTAAACTGTATAGCCATGTTAATCAGCCTAAACTGTATAGCCATGTTAATCAGCCTAAACTGTATAGCCATGTTAATCTGCCTAAACTGTATAGCCATGTTAATCTGCCTAAACTGTATAGCCATGTTAATCTGCCTAAACTGTATAGCCATGTTAATCTGCCTAAACTGTATAGCCATGTTAATCTGCCTAAACTGTATAGCCATGTTAATCTGCTAATCTTAATCCCTAAACTGTATAGCCATGTTAATCTGCCTAAACTGTATAGCCATGTTAATCAGCCTAAACTGTATAGCCATGTTAATCTGCCTAAACTGTAGCCATGTTAGCCATGTTAATCTGCCTAAACTGTATAGCCATGTTAATCTGCCTAAACTGTATAGCCATGTTAATCTGCCTAAACTGTATAGCCATGTTAATCTGCCTAAACTGTATAGCCATGTTAATCTGCCTAAACTGTATAGCCATGTTAATCTGCCTAAAGCTGTATAGCCATGTTAATCTGCCTAAACTGTATAGCCATGTTAATCTGCCTAAACTGTATAGCCATGTTAATCAGCCTAAACTGTATAGCCATGTTAATCTGCCTAAACTGTATAGCCATGTTAATCTGCCCTAAACTGTATAGCCATGTTAATCTGCCTAAACTGTATAGCCATGTTAATCTGCCTAAACTGTATAGCCATGTTAATCTGCCTAAACTGTATAGCCATGTTAATCTGCCTAAACTGTATAGCCATGTTAATCAGCCTAAACTGTATAGCCATGTTAATCTGCCTAAACTGTATAGCCATGTTAATCTGCCTAAACTGTATAGCCATGTTAATCTGCCTAAACTGTATAGCCATGTTAATCTGCCTAAACTGTATAGCCATGTTAATCTGCCTAAACTGTAACTGTATAGCCATGTTAATCATGCCCTAAACTGTATAGCCATGTTAATCTGCCTAAACTGTATAGCCATGTTAATCTGCCTAAACTGTATAGCCATGTTAATCAGCCTAAACTGTATAGTAATCTGCCTAAACTGTATAGCCATGTTAATCTGCCTAAACTGTATAGTCATGTTAATCTGCCTAAACTGTATAGCCATGTTAATCTGCCTAAACTGTATAGCCATGTTAATCTGCCTAAACTGTATAGCCATGTTAATCAGCCTAAACTGTATAGCCATGTTAATCTG